ACACACACACACACACACACACACACACACACACACACACACACACAGAGGCTCAGATGACAGCTGTTTAAACTGGAAATATTAAACGCCAGAACTCAAGGCTGTTGAGTTTTTTGGCAGGTTTTTTCGGGGTAGGGGGGTCTAATGTTCCCTGCACCTTTCGATTTAGCAGCGTGCTGTCGAAGTCACTGAAGCTCTTTTATTCTCCAAATCCACCTTCTAACAGCCTCCACTCCACAGGGGGGGAGGGTAGTGTGTTTGAGCTCATAACAGAGTGCAGATGCTCGTTTCCACCCTTCACCAGCTTATACAGTGCTTAATATCCCCTCCTTATGTATTCATGTATTCGCAACGGGGCACAGCCAGTCACCGGCTCTCCATAATAATGCAAACACCTGTTCGTCAGAGCTGCTCCACCTGCCTGTAACCTTCACTCTCTGAATATTGGACCTCGCAGCGTAGCTTTGTGTTCGCACTCTTTGGTCGAATGTCTTCAGCTTAACTCCCGTCCCCAAGCAAAGACTCGTGACCCAGAATGGATGGCAGCCTCCTGTAAGTCAGGGCCTGGCACAGAGAGGTTGTGGCCTCAGGGCAGGGGCAGGCGGGGGCTCTGCGGCGGCAGACACTCGAACCCTCCGGTCATGCCGTCGGGGGTGCAGCCGTGCTTCCAGTTGCTCCGGATCGGCTCGTCAGCCGGGGACTCGGTGCGGGACCTGTACACGTTCAGGCCGGCGCTGAGCCACTCTGTGTTCCGGCTGGGCCACGCGGCGGAGCTGTGCGACGTCACGCTGGACTCCACGTCGGTGTCGCGGATCCATGCCGAGCTGCACGCCGAGAGGGAAGCGGGCGAGGGCACCGCGGCGCTGCAGGAGGAGGGCTGGAGGGTCCACATCAAGGACAGGAGCAGTCATGGTGAGAGACGGGGCTCCTTAACACACACACACACACACACCTCTACAGTCATTGTGGAAGAGAGAAAGACGTTACACACCCTCTTACAAGAAATACCAATACTTCTACGGGGAAACACAACTACTGTCTTCTGCTGAATTACTAGTGCCTGCAGCCTGACGGCACCTTAACTGCCAAAAACCATCTGTAGACGTACAGACCAGAAAGCAAGCTAAGAAAAGTGAGTCTTAGAGTCTTAAACCTGACTTGAATGAACCTGACAAATGAGGCGGGGCTAAAGCGGTTCCATAAAGGTCAATTCAAGGTCACGTGATCTGACTTCTATTGAGGTTGAAGAGGTCAAGATATCTGAGCATGCGAACTGTTCTTCAGCAGCCCACTTTAGATGACGTGGAACACTGATTGGCTGATAGGAATCCAATCAAATAAGTTTGTGCTTTTGGGTGGAGTCAGGCGACAGTTGGCGTTGAGGTTGCGGGGTAATCGAAAGTGGATTAAACCAGGGGCTGAAAGTTGCCGGTGTTTACGGGGCTAAAGTAAACTGAGATTGTGTCCCGTTGTTGTCCAATCTGTTAAAGAGTAGTCGTGCAAGTGTAAACATTAGTCACACGATCCAACGGACATTTAACCCAGGACTATGAGGTGCAGTGTGAATTGTGGAGCCCTGGATTGAATACATTAGCCCAGCCTCAACCCTTAGCCCAGGGTTAAGGATAGCTCTGGGCTACAGTATGCAGTGTGGAAAGCCTAGATATGCTTTAGAGCTGCAGCTTATTAAGAAGCTTTTCATCCTTCCTGTTTGATTTGTTGCAGAATAATCTCCTACATTGTAGTTTGATAGTGATGAAGTGATTAAAGTGTCTAAACTTTGACCCACATGTTTGTATTAGTGTAATTAGAGAGGTGGCTCCCGAGCAGCTTCAGCACTCGTTATAGACTGGATGAACAGAATTCTGCCCAAACATATTCCCTCATTAGGGGTTCTGATGACAAAGTCTCCCATAGGTGCTCAGTCTGGTTCAAGTCAGGTGACTAAGAAGACAGGATATGATTTCAACATTTTCATACCTATCCAACTTTATAACCAGGATGTCTGTGATCAAAATGATCACATTTGCTATTAAAATGTCACAAAGAATGAACATCAGTCTCTGCAGTCTCCTTCAATGTTATCTGACTATCGGATGACAACAAGTGGTGTCCTCGGAGTGAGACACTGAGAAGTAGAACCATTCAGGGACCAGTTTACAGGCTTTACAGCAGTTCTGTTAGATCCAGTAGATGGAGTTTGGAGAAACAGACATGAGTACCAGCACAGAAGCAAAGCGATGTACTGCTGTAGACCGGGGGGCAGCAACAAATGTGTTTTACTCACCGAAAAAAAAAAAAAAAAAAAAAGAGTAAGTATCAGTCCAGAGCTCAACATGCCGGGCAAGTGGAATGCCTCAAGGAGGGCGGGTGCTAAGCTTCCACCACGACGCCGTCGTTTGATGCCACATTGATGCTCTGAGTGTCCTCTATTGCTCCTTACATTGCTGCTTCTCTTTGTTCTGTGTGATGGTAAACCAAGTCTCTGGATTTTGAACTGGCGAGGAGGGAGGCAGGGAGGGAGGAGACTTGGGAGCGAACGCCGACTGACTGTCTGACTGGATCCAAACAGCTCTTTTTCCAGTCATTTCACAGTCTGTTTCACACGCGTTTTAATTCCTGCTGTTAAAATTACGTCTCAGTATTGGTCGTGCGTTTCTCATTTTGTGGCGTCGGGCCGTCTGATTGCCTCGTAAGCATCCAGCTCCTCCATTCTAGGTCCGTTTCCTCAGACTTACATTCCCCCCCACACACACACAGCTGTACACACGTTGATGGGCTCTGCTCGCCTGATTTATTACGTATTGTTCATGTATTAATAATTGTGTGATCTGGCCCCGGCTGATATTAACTGAAAAAGCAGTTTGGGTTTGTTTGGGCTGATCATGTGACCTCTCACCTCTTACATGTCAGTGTGACACTGAAGGACTGGAGCGAGTTCAGTGCCAGCAGAAGATTTAAATAGAAATGAAGAAGTCTTCACCTGCTCTTGTGTTGCTAGGCACCTGGGTCAACGAGGTCCGCCTCCAGCCCGGCGTCCAGTGGGAGCTCTCAGACGGCGACACGCTGACCTTCGGGGGCCAGTCGGCTCCCAGGAGCCCCGAGTTCTACTTCCTCTTCCAGAAGGTCAAAGTTCGCCCGCTGGACTTCGATGCTATCACAATTCCGAAGGTAAACTTTGTTCTTTGTGAGGACCCACAGAGGAGAGAGAGTCGTCTCTGTGCTGCCCGATCCTGTGCAGCTTCACTTCACTTTTATAATGACGCTTCATAGACTGAAGCATATTTTCACAAAGATGCCAGAGGCCTGTGTTTTTCACTCGGGGATTTATTGCTCAGATTCAATTATATATTATTTTGTTTGGTCGTTCACATCGTTCAACTAGTCTCAGTCCTGAACTGACCCGAAGTAAAGATGGAGACCGCTGAAGTCGGCGTTAACGCTTTCATTTATTAGGCGATGTGCACTGGAAGCCAGCGAACTCGTCCGCAGCACATAAAGAGGAGGATAGTTCTGGCTTCTTGTGGAGCAACTGCTGCCCCTCTTGTACGGAGGTGTTCACATGGTTATGAAAACAACACTTCTGCCTGCAGTGAGAACTTCAGTTTTGGGTGAAACACCCGGAACATTTAGAACAGGGTCGATGTCATTCCTGTTTTCTGGTGCCTTAACAGGCGGTTTATCAGCTATAATGTGATTCCATCCAGACAAAGTGGTTGGCCGTGAATCACATATTTGAAGAGATGAAAAAGCTAAAAGTACTTAGTATTTAGTCCCGCCCTCACATACTAGCTGGGATGCCCTGACTCTAGTTCTGAGTCAACCCCAGCTACTCTGTCACTGGAGCACTAAATGAGGGTTCACCTCACTCTATAAAGGTCTCTACTGCATAAAGTTGTAATTTATATACTTGTACCATGTCTCCTAGGCGGGCACCTTTTCCTCCGACCTACAGAACCGCATCAGAACCAACCTGGGCCGCAAGGTGGCCGCCAACCTGGACCTGTCCAAGATGTCCATCAACCGGGCCACCGTCATCCTCAACTCCATCGGCAGCCTGAGCAAGATGAAGGGCAGCGCCTGGACCTTCAAGAGGAGCCTCAGCCTCGGGGGGGCCACCTCGGACCCCGGCTCCTCCTCCTCGCCTCCTCTGGCCGCGGGCTTGTCCTCCCTGCTGCCGCCCTCCACGCCTCCGCCGTTCTCCTCCGTGGCTTCGGCGCCCTCTGCCAAGTCCCTCCAGCCGACCTCCAGGAGCAGGAGGAAGTCGGCCCACACGGTGCTGCTCGAGGACGACAGCTCAGACGAGCCCAGGAGCCGAGGAGGTGAGGCTCCACTCTACTCAGATGTACCGAGCGCATGTGGAAACGTCTTTTTTAACAGTTAATGAAGGAGCATATTGGATATTAGCTTTTATTCAGACTAGATTGGATGAACAGCATTCTGACAGGAAATTTATGCAAAAACATATTTTTAATTACAGTTTTCACTGAAGCAAAAATCTTAACAGCAGGAAAAGAGCAAATGGGTAAAAACGTGAATCACTAGCTGAGCATCGGTTGTCATTGTGGTGTTCAGCTCCAGCAGGAGTCCTGGAGGACGGCCAGCGGTCCAGGGGGAAGAAGAGGCGGCGGCTCTACAAGTCTGAGTCGGAGACTTTCAGCTCTCCGCCTCCTCTGCCGCTGCAGCCCAAGAGCCGCGAGGATGTCCGGCGGCCGCTGGAGGCCAAGCCCTTCCCCGTCGGCATCAGGACCATCGGCAGCTTCCACGGCGCCATGACCAACAGCAGACTCAACCACCACCTCCAGGCGTCACTCGCCAGCGCCGCGGTCCACAAGCAGGAGGTGCAGGCGCTGCGCCGGGTCCAGACGGTGGTGCACAGCAACATCGCGGCTTTCCGCCAGCAGAAAGCGACGCACTGCTCCCCAGCGGCGCAGAGGGGCCGGAGGAGGGCTCACAGCTCCCCGGTGTTCTCCCCTCTGGTGGTCGGAGGGGAGAACTACAGCCTGGCCTCGCCTTCGGTGAGGATCCGCACGGAGGCGAGGGGCCGGGTGCAGTTCAGCAGGTTTCACCATCCTACCAGGTGAGACGCTGATGGAGGAGGTCTGTCCCTCTGACACCAACACAGCTCCAGTATTTATCTGTAGAATGTGTTCTTTTCCACTAGGAGTCACCAAAGTCATTTTCAAATCTTATGCCAAAGGAGCTTTTAAGGAAGTTTTCTTGTTAAATCTATCTATAAAAGATAGTCATCCACTGGGGAAGCTTCATGGTGATATGAGCTGAACTCTCTGGTGTCTGCCCTTAATCTCTGTCACTAATCAGGTTAACTAACAGCTGATGATGGCAGTGTTTACTATAATCCAACTAAATACAAAGGAACACAAATGGTCAGTGTTTGATCTGTGGAACATGTGATGAATGTCATGAAATCTCAACATGTTAAAACACCTTCATCAATCTTCCTCTCTTCTTCTGCTTCTCCTCGCAGTAAGCGTCGAGGCCGCCCCAGAAAACACCTGCCCCCCCCCCCGGCCCTCCCTTCCCTCCCCGTCCTCCTCTTCCTCTTCCTCCACCTCCTCTGCCTCCTCCTCCTCGTCCTCCTCCTCTTCTTCCTCCTCAGAGGACGAGGAGGAGGAAGAGGCTGCGACGGGCGGGGCGGTGGAGCCGTGTGCGGCGCTGCGGTGCCGGCTGCCCCAGCAGGACATGGTGCAGTGGATCCAGTGCGACGTGTGTGACGCCTGGTTCCACATAGACTGTCTGCACGTGGACCGCAAGAAGCTCCTGAGGGACCCCAACGCAGACTTCCACTGCGGATGTCACTGATATGACGATGAAATGAGACGCTTGCCACATTTCCCCCTTAAATGTTTATTTCCTTCAGCCGCACTCACCAGACCTTTCACCGAAGAAAGAAAAGGAGTTTCATTCAAATTTACATTTTTTTGTTTTTCTCCATCCTGATCTTTCCAAGTTTGAGGATTCGTGACCGAGCAGTGCCGCTCAGTTTCATGACTAAAACACGCGGGGAAATGTTTGTGAGCACCGAGCTGGTCGTTGACCAGCGTTCAGCACCACTAATGAAGTGTGTGTGTAT